AAGAAGAAAGTGAGTACCTACGGACACCGAGCTGTGACATTCTGGACTTATGAATATATGTTTCCCGCCAGGTGTGTAAATAGCGGTGTCAGGCTACTGACTGGAATGATTATTGAATGACTATTGAGTGGAACTATCCAGTCGAATTAGTGTGAATTATTGTCTGTCGAAGATTTGGGTTTCGATTTAGGATTTACCGGACGTTAAACCGAGCCGCGCTCCTAACAAGGTATTCACTGAAATGGTTAATTATCTTTGGTTGACTTTTACTTTGTTCTCGTTAAGTATTTTTTTTTTTTTTGCGGTTGTAATTAAATACTGTTTTATTTAACATTGAAGTCTTGAGTTATACATAATTATTAACGACCACCGTACGTCACAAAAGTTTGCTGTTTAACAAAAAGTGATTATAAAAATCTTAGTAAAATCCAAACATATAAAAGTGAATTTATACATTTTCTTTGTTCTTGACAAACAACAAGTTATTAACCCTGCATTAGTCACATCAGGTGTTTTGTTACATCAAAATAATTTTTAAAGGACTCGTAATTACTACTTGGTAACATGTGTTTTTGTTGGTTTTTTTTTTTTTTTTTTTTGCTCCCTCCCTCATCTACACTCCTGACTCAGTAACGGTGTGTAACATGCTGTGTGGCGCAGTTGTAGCTCAGTTGTCGTTAGAAGCAGACGCCAAGGAACTATACATTTTCGGAAATTCGAGGTGACTAATGCAGGGTTAAACACTATTTATAAGATTGAATAAAAAAAAAAACAACTTATCTTCATAGTTATTTAGAAAATGGTATATAATAAATATTGTATTGTAGATGGTCTATATGGGTCCATGGCTGAGTGGTTACAACGTTCCCTTTCTGACCACGAGACTCGAATCTCACCATGGTCAATTTGTCAGGAAAGTGACTTCTTGATATTCTCGGTCCGGAGGAGGCGATCCCAGTGCCTGAAAACCATACCACGGTTGACCCAAGCCTTGTGAGCGAAATAGGAACCCGTGGAGGTCATCGATGGCTGTGATAGCGCGGAGTCACAAGTCATCGTGACTGAGGGTTTGAGCTTGTTCAGATTGTTGATCACGCATGTTGATCCCAGAAAATATAACTAAGGTGGGCTACGTGGGTGTTGAACAAACACAAAAAATTCGCCTGAGCATGCGTCTGCAAGAGGGATTAGCTAGCCGCCTTAGTAGAGGTGTATCTTCGAATACGTGTGGCCAGCTATTAACGTAACGTTAAGATGGTCGACATATTTTGATAATTTTGTAATATAACATTTTTTGAATGAAAATATTTCTTTTCAAATCTATTTCTTTACAAAAATGGTAAATAATAAATCTTTACAAAAGGTAAATAATAAATATGTACATTTTAATGTTTTATTCATATCTTCACCCACAAATCGCCTTTTTCATTGTATGTGAGGGCCAAAATAAAACCCATCTAAAAAGTGTATACGAAATAATAGCGGTTCCTCTCGAGGAAGTTAACGAACACCCGGCTCGGCAGTCCAGATACTTTTGATACGCCGTTTTTTTTTACGGACATGAAGGTCGAAAATTGCCGTTTTTATTTTTTTCGATAATTTGGACTATTTTCTTGGTATCCGGTGAAAACTGATATATATATATATATATTTTAAGACATTTTAATGTTTATACATTCTTTTTATAGATGGTTTTTCAATTCACCCACAGGAATTGAATACAAAACCTTTTTAATGTGGGTATGTCTGAGCCGTAGTAAAAATAAAACCCATCTAAACCCGACCAAGCGGGCTTTATAATCCCCGAAAAAAACCCTTATTGCAAGCAGAGAGTTCGACAACATTCACAAGCGCAGATACCTTGATCCTAGCCACCGGGCCGAGCGGGTATTCTTTTTATAGATGGTATTTATCAATTCACCCACAGGAATTGAATGTGGCACAAGGCCTTTTTAATGTGGGTATCCTCCGAGCCCGTAGGCCCAGCCAAAAATAAAACCCATCTAAACCCGTCCAAGCCTGTACCTCCCGAACGAAACCCCACCCTTCGGCGGACGTCTGGGTTCCTCTCTGCAAGCAGAGAGTTCGACTTACGTGCAGCTCTGGAAAAGCGCAGATACTACACTTTGATTAGCCACCGGGCCGAGCGGGTATTCTTTTTAGAGATGGTATTTATCAATTCACCCACAGGAATTGAATGTCACAAGGCCTTTTTTAATTGGGTATGTCCGAGCCCGTAGGCCCAGCCAAAATAAAACCCATCTAAACCCGTGCGGGCTAGTTCAATCAACCTCCCCGAACGAAACCCTATGAATCTCTCGTTCGACACACCCGGCTCGGCAGCTCAAAGCACAGATACTCTGATCCTAGCCACCATGGCAGGTATTCGTATCAAATATTTGTAAACAAACAACATTTACCGGCCTGAATGTCATTTTCACAAAAAAGTCCTCCGACAGGATTCGAACCTGTATCCTATAAGGAATCGTCATTTACGTGCCTTTAACCGATTTGCCACAAATCAAATTTAAAATTTAATTGAATCTCTCACGTACATTCAACTGCTCATGGCGTATCAAATGTAAACAAATTGAAAAGCCCGACAATTATTTTATAAAATATATATATATATATATATATATATATATATATATATATATATATATATATATATATATATACTTTCGGCATTTATACCGCATTATCAAAGAGGTTTGTTTTATAATGTTTTGAACGAGGCTGTCATCGTTCTCATGACCCTTTGATTTGGTGTTCGTTCTGGTATGAGATACAACGATGACATCTCTTTTACCAAAGAACTCCAAGGAATTGCTTACCTGTCTAATAGGAAACTGCATACCTGCTTTGTTGACCTCACGGCAGCATATGAACCCATCAATAGAGCCTTCCTCTCCTCATCCATTAGAAAACGCCTTCCAAGCTTCGAGTCCATTGAATGCATCGATTTGATAGAGGAACTGTATCGATCTACAGAATAACATATGTCTAGACAGGACCCCAATACGGAAACATTTCAAACCTTATCAAGAGTAGGGAAAAGTATAGGAAGAAAGTGAGTACCTACCGACACCGAGATCGAACGTGAAACTCTGGACTTATGAATATATGTTTTCCGCCAGGTGTATAAATAGCGATGTCAGGCTACTGACTGGAGTGATTATTAAGTGACTATTGATTGGAACTATCCAGTCGAATTAGTGTGAATTATTGTGCGTCGATGATTTGGGTTTTGATTTAAAATTTACCGGATGTTAAGCCGAGTCGCGCCACTATTAATAAGCCCCTCCCCCAGTCTATTTAATCTCTTCGTAGACTATGCCCTGGGTATTAACAAGGATGTGATGATATGGGGACTGACCATCTATGCATTCCATACAAAATCCCAAACGAGTCTACCAATAGAAGACAACGATCCTGCTTTCCCTCCCGAGGCCAATGTACTGATGATGAAGAGACTATGCTGATGACATTCAGTGCTATGCCGAAGTAAGTGAAGCCCTAAAATAATATTTAAAATAATTGTCTCTTCTATTCCAGATGATCAAGAAATTTTAATTAAACTATATAAAAATACTTTCATGGTAATTGCTCCGATGAGCTGCTTTCACTGCTTCCCAGACTCCATGAATTCAAGCGCACTACGAGGCTGGCATCCCGCTCCCACCCTTACACTGTAGAAACTTTTAAATGTAGCCGTTTCTTCTACTCCAATAGCTTCATACCTCGCACCTCTCGCCTGTGGAACACCCTTCCCTATTACTGTTTCCCTGAGAGCTATAATCTCCAACTATTCAAATGTAATGTCAATCGACATCTCCAGTTACCTTGATCTATCCACTATCCTTCTCCTCATCCTTTCTTCTATCACTACTATCTGCTCTCGCTCCAAATCTTCTGCACACCCTCCCCCCTGCATCCTAGTGGCTTCACGCCTTGCTCGGGGCGTAATGCTTAAAAAAATAAAATAAAAAATAAAAAAAGAAAGAAAAACCTTTATTAAATCAATTACAACAACTTTTAAATTTTTTGTCATTAATCATTATTAATCAGGCTCTCATTGTTTTACAAAAGTCAGCTCCTAACAACCCAGTTTGGTCTTTGTTCGGGAAAGAGATGCAACAATGGTGTATATATGTCATCAAATAACTCCAAGAAATTGCTTACCTCTCTAATAGGAAATTGTATGCCTGCTTTGTTGATCTCAAAGCAGCATATGACTAGATCAATAGAGACTTTCCCACCTCATCGATTAGAAATCGCCTTCCAAGCTCTGAATATACTAATAGAGGAACTGTATCGATCTACAGAATCTTACATGTCTGGCGAAGACCACAATACGGAAACATTTAAGACTTCATCAGGAGTACGACAAGGATGAAATCTGATCTCCAGTCTACTTAATCGCTTCCTAGACATTGCTCGGAGCATTTACAAACACAGATGTGATGAGATGGGTACTGACCATTTAAATATCCCATACCGCATCCAAAACGAATCTACCAATAGAAGACAACGATCCTGCTTCCCCTCCCGAGGCCAATATATTGATGATAAAGGAGGTTATGCTGATGACATAGGTATTCATAGTTGGGATAAGAAAATCAACATCCTCTACCAAGTGTTCCAAGAAACAGACCTCAACCTTTCTAAAACAGAAACTATGATCTGAAACTGGAATGAAAGCAGTCATGGCACCTACTCTGATTGATTGATTTGTTTTTTATGGCTTATCGACCCTTTGCAGATTATTTAAAGCGAGAAAATGTTTTTAGATTTTAAGAAGTTTTTGGAGATAATAATGATTTACTGATACAAGTCCTACTAATTAACCCATAGATGGGGGGAGAAGTGTTGGATTCATACCTTTACCAAGGGTATTTGCGCGTAAGGGAATATAACGAACTCGGCTGGAATTGGAACTCTGCTCTCCGATTTCCAAATCCGAGCCATTATCCATTACACCACCCGCACATACAAACTTACAGCACCTGGCAATTCCAAGCGGTGACCCATCTAGTTACTGGCCAAGCTCGACATTGCTTAACTTTGGTGATCTGACGAGAACCGGTTTTTCAATGCAATATGGCCGTAAATCGCATCTACCCTGAATCAATCGTAAAAATTCAGGACATGGACCTAGCAAATACTAAACACTTCAGATACCTCGGAGTTATCAGTTATAACAAATTTAGTAGAGAAAAGGAAATTGACCACAGAACAGATTATTTTACAAAAGCAAGTCGAGAACTCAAGCCCGGTTCTTAAATAATCCCGCTCCCACCCTTACACTGAAGAAACTTTTAAATGTAGCCGTCTCTTCTACTCCAATAGCTTCATACCTCGCACCTCCCACCTGTGGAACACCCTTCTCAATTACTGTTTCCCTGAGAGCTATAATCTCCAACTATTCAGATGTAATGTCAATCGACATCTCCAGTTACCTTGATCTATCCACTATTCCTCCCCTCATCCATATGAAAGCCTTTCAGATCAAGGCTTTCATATGGATGTCATGCATGGCGCTAAACCCGTTCTAAACACTCAGCTGTATACAACCCCTTTCTCAGATCAATGGTGAAAAAAGGTTTTGGGTAGAGATTATCCCTCGTTGAACATTATGGCCTGGAGCTACTGCCCTCTTGGTAACTTGGACCACTCTGTGGTAGCTATTGGTACCTCATTCCAAGCATCCGTTAAACAGGAACCCCTTATCTATAAGACTTCTTTCTGTTACCAGCATGCTGACTCGGATTTCGGGATTTTCTTCCTGACATCAACCTCCCAGAGTCTGTCTATATTTCTGAGATGAGGTATTATGTACAGTATTTACATTAGTCGGACTATTGTCTTCATCTTTGTCGCCCTATTTGTCACAACGTTTCGGCCGTTGTACGCTCCGGCCTCAAGGACACATGGCACAGTGGATAAAGGCGTTGGTTAGATCCAGTGACAGACCCAAAGAATGTGAGTTCAATACCCGGTTAAGGCAGTGGAGAACTTTCAGAGGGAAAATTAGCAGGAGATAACTGATAACTGACATCCATCAAACATGGCACGTGGAACTAGAACAGCCTACCCCAGTGAACGAAATAAAGGGTTCAGTTCGACATTCCAATCACCTGAAGAAGGCCGGAGCGTACAACGGCCGAAACGTTGTAATAAATATGGCGACAAAGATGAGGACAATAGTCCGACTAATCAACCTCCCAATTGAAAATTGCGCAAATGAGGTTTCTTTCTGGTTCAAAGCCGGCATAGGACGCTTTCATCTCTTCTCGGAAATACCAAGTGAAACCACAATCCTCTCCATGGTTCTCACCAGCGTGCTCAGCCGCCACAGCACACAGGAAACACTATTTCCGGTCATACCAGCGTGACAGTTCGCGTCATAACAGGTGACTATTTGCTACTGCTCGTAATGAATATAAGCGAGTCCTCGAAGGAGCTCTGTTTGCTGAGAGGAAGAAGCAACGTATAACCACTAAAAACTTTGGCTCTCGTGATTACTGGCGTCTCTGTAATAGGGTACTAAATAAGTTTAAAGTCTCTATTCCCCCCATCTTCAATCGATTTCAGGTGTTATAATCCTCTGCTGATAAATCTGAATGCTTTGCTTGTAAATTCTCTTCAATCTCTACTCTTGACTCATCTACAGTGTCCCTGCCTAACTTCCCGCTTAGAACTGATTCTCTACTGAGTGATATGCATATAGCCCCTTCATTGGTCTCTTCTATCATCTCTAACCTAGATTCCCACAAAGCATGTCGGCCCTATGGTATCCCTATAATAGTCATTAAGGAGTGTGTTCCCGAACTGACTCCTGTTCTCTCTAAACTGTATAATAAATGCCTCGCTGTCTCCTGCTTTCCTGCCTGCTGGAAATCATCGCCTGTTGTTCCAGTTTTTAAGAAGCCTGGCGAACCGTCCGACCCATGTAACTCTCGGCTTGTTAGACTTCTACCACTTTTAGGGAAACTCCTAGAGGCCCTAATCAATGCTGAATTGGTTCATCATCTCTCATTGCAGAGCCTTTTCTCAGATAAACAATACAATTTTCGTTTCTCCAGGTCAAATGCTGCTGTACTAACGATAATTACGGAAAGAGTCTGTCATGCTCTAGATAACAACGGTGAAAGTCGGGAAGTAGCATTGGAAATTTCGAAAGCGTTTGACTGGCATTCATGTCTTCTCCACAAGTTGAAAAGTTACGGTATCTCCAGGCACATATTTGAGCTCACCCAGCCATTCCGATCAAATCGTGAAATGGAATTTGTCCTGAACGGCAACTCGTCTACATCCTTTTGCACTAACGTGAATGTCCCCCAAGGCTACGTTCTTGGTCCTACGCTGCTTTGAATCTTCCTTATTAACCTTCCCGATGATATCAGCTCTCAACTTGGCATCTACGCTGATGACACTACCATTTACTCCTGACTGGATACCAAGATGCACTAAACGACCTCAAAGCCGTCGTTAACT